AGAACAATTCAATCATTCACCAACTGATGGATATTTTAGGTATTTATGTATTTTGGTGGAAGAGATTCCTAGAAGTAGGATTGCTCATGCACAAGGTATGTACATTGTATATTTCTAAATGTACTGTCAAATTGTGCTCCAAAATATCATCTCTATTCCTCACGCCAACATTTATGAGAGTGAACATTTCCCACGAGTATTAATTTTTAAAATTTGCCAGTCTAATATACACAGATATCCCAATTGATTTAACTTGTATTTATCTGGTTACTAGTGACACTGACCACCTCACATGTTTATTCGGTATTTATTTCTTCTCTGTGTACCACCTCTATACATGTTTTGCCCCTTTTTAAGTGAGTTTTGTTTCTTATTAATTTATAAGAACTCTTTATAGACTGGATATAATATTTTTATGTTTTATCTATAACAAATATTTTCTCTCAGACTATTCATTTTCTAACTTTGCTTATAAGGTTTTTCACAATTGAGAGATTTTACCTTGCAATGGAGTAATATATTGAAATCTTCGCTTCTATAACTTCCAAGTTCCATACCTTCTCTACCACCAAATTATATCTTATACATATGCACACAAGCATCTATACACATATATGTGTATATATATATATATATATTACTCTATACTTTTCTTTACTAACACAAATATAATTTGTTACATTTTTAGAATTTTGAGGCATGTGAAATTTTTTTCTAATTAATTAATTTTCTCTAAAAATTTTATTTGTTTTTGATTATACATATTTATGGGGTACAGAGTTGACTATCAGTATTTGTGTACAGTATGTGATGATCAAATCAACATTATTAGCATGTTCATCATTACAAATTGTAATTACTCTCTGTGTCCCTTACCCAATTACTCTCTAATCCTCCTCCCTCCTTCCCACCTCTAGTAACTATAGATCTGTTCTCTCTTTCTGAAAGTTCAACGTTTCATTGTGGTCTTTCTTTCTTTCTTAGCTCCCACTTATGAGTGAGAAGAAGGCACATGGAATTTATTTTGCTGTACAGTATAAGCAAGGAGCATTACTTAGTATTTTCCTAATGACTTAATATAATGATCTTAGTAAGGTTTGATATTTGATAGGGCAAGTTCTCTCCCCTTATTGCTCTTTTTAGGACATTTTCCTGGGTATTTTACACTTATATTCTTCTAAATGAATTTCAGAATACATTTAAGTTATATTTAAAATTATCATTGGGATTTTTGAATTAAGACTGCATGAAAGCCACAGGTTAATTAAAGTCTTTAAGATACTGCATTGAATATACCCACAGTATATTCTCCATTTTTATGTTTTATTTACTTTTATAAGATTTATAGTTTTCTTCATTTTAACCTCTCACATTTTTTGCAAAGTTTATCCCTTAGATGTTTTACAATAGGTGTTACTAGTGTCAATTTCCCTATTTTATTTTCTAATTGGTTATTGCTGGTATATAGGAAGCTACTGGTTTAAAAATGCTGGGCTTCCATCCAGCCACTTTATTCTCTCTTATTTGTTCTAATGGTTCTAAGAGTTCTAACTTCTGTTAGTTTTCTAGGTAAATAATCTTATCTTCTTCCTCTAGGGACAGCTGTGGTTTCCTTTCAATTTCATAATTCCTACTTTTAACTTTTAATTTTAAATTCATTGCTTTAGCTAGACTCTGCAAGTCAAAGAGGAGTAAGGGCGTGAGACTAGTGGTCCCTGCTTGACCCAGACTTTAATGGAAAATGCTTTCAATGCTTCACACCTTTCAGTACAAGCATACTTCTAAAAGTTCAAGGAAAGATTCACATTATCTTTTAATTCTATTTTTCCATGAACTTTTTGAAGTACCCTCACATTTATGGAGATGATCATGTGGGTTT